ATATATCTTATATATATACAAACGAGTTTAGGCGTTCGTGGTGCCGACAAGTGTCCATTTTCGGTACATCCGTTGCTTGACACGTGTCTTCAATGTGTCCTGCTTTATTTACAATTTTGCCACCATGATTGCTTTTTGCAAATGACATTAAACGATACAGTGTTTTTCCTACACTGTTTAGGAGATTATTTTCTGCCCTGAAATTGTGGTGATATGCGTCCTCCATCTCTTCCCCCTTCTTCTGTGATGTGATTGCCGTAAATTGAGGTTGACTCCCCAAAAAGTGTGGCGGTGGCTTAATTCTGAAGCAACAAAATTGGTCAAAATCTGCAATCCGTTCCTTCTCGCATCAGACCCTAGACCTCTCCATCTTCTCCTCTCTATACAAAAATTCCCTCTCTTCCATCTAACCTTCATCTCTAAAACCCTACCACCAACTCTCCTCCTGCAATTTTAAGAATCCGCCGCCGCCGGTGGAAAACGAGGTTTTGGAGTTCCGTATGTGAACGAGAGCCCACCCAAATGAGGTATAATGTGCTCCCATTATGCTAACACCGGTCACTCGCACGACGCCAAAAGTAGGGCATACGACCGTAATTATGAGCATCGGATGAGCACAAGGCCCAGGAGCGTGGTCGCTTGGAGAAATTAGCTAGAGACAACGTGATATTAAGGTTACCGCCGTAAAGGAATAGTATATGGGGTCCAAGAAGCCCAAGAAGAGGATGTAGTGAGAAAAAATATTGCGTTTAATGTTCAAAGCTCACAATCCTATTATTCAATTTTCTATGTTCGTTCTTTTCTGCAAGCCTTAGCTATCTCCACACCAAGCCAAGAGCAGAGGAATATGGTTGGGTTCACTAGAGGCCAGACTTTGAATGTTTGATTTGTAGAAACAGTGAATTGCATAAAATGACAAGAACGAAGTAAAATAGATCAGAAAATATTTTCCTCCATTAAAGCTTCAAGCTCAACAATGTTCAATTAAAAAGGAAAGTCCCTCAGCACATGCTATAAGTGTGTGAGCAGAAAATAAAAAACAATGAAACTAGAACACGTAGCAACAGAAAACTAGCCCCCATTCTAAACTAAACCGTAGGAGCGAGTTTATAAGACACTTGCGCCTTTACAATCCTTGAGGGCAAATAGGTAAAAACAGATGAAATAAAGGACTGCAACATAAACTGTTCTTCTCCCATACAGAAAATCCATGCAAGCAAGTGTAATCTCAACACCCCCCCCCCCCCCCCCNNNTCAAGTGGGAATGTGGGAAGGAAGACACATGCCCAACTTACGAAGAAAACGAGCATAATCAGCACGACCAAGCGATTTAGTAAAGAGATCTGCCGGCTGCAAAGAAGAAGAAACATGCTGTGGTAAAATGAAGCCGGCTTTGTATTGATTGCGTACCACGTGGCAATCAATGTCAAGATGTTTTGTCCGTTCGTGAAAAACCGGGTTGGCGGTAATGTGGAGGGCGGCACGGTTGTCACACCAAAGAGGTATAGGAATGTGGAGTTGTAAAGATAAATCCCGGGCTAAGAAAGAAAGCCACTGGAGTTCACAAACTGTCGTAGCCATGGCACGATACTCGGCTTCAGCCGAAGAACGAGAAACGGTCTTTTGCTTCTTTGTTTTCCAAGAAATGAGTGCTTGACCAAGAAAAATACAGTATCCCGTAAGAGACCGTCGTGTAATCGCACAACTCCCCCAATCCGCATCACAAAAAGCCTCCAAGCGTGGAGAAGATGAGGCTGCATAATAGAGGCTGAGAGTGGGACAACCCTTCAAATATCGAACAAGGTGTAAGGCAGCTTTCCAATGTCCTTGTGTAGGACCCTGAATAAATTGACTCAGTTGTTGAATGGCATAGGAGATGTCTGCCCGTGAAAGATTCAGGTAAAGAAGACGCCCAACAAGTCTTCTATAAGCCTCTGGTTCAAAGTGTGGTTCAGAGACTAAACTAGAGAGATTGAGTCCCTGAGGCAGTGGTGTGGCAGCAGCCTTAGAATCCAGGAGGCCTAAATCTCGAACAATATCAAGTATGTACTTCCTTTGACTTAGATAGGTGCCCTCTTTTGTTCTAAGAATTTCCAACCCCAGGAAGTACTTAGCATGTCCCAAATCTTTTATGGTAAAAGCCTTATGAAGAAAAACTTTAAGGGACTCAATGTCACTCAAGGAAGTACCAGTAATTAAAACATCATCAACATAGATAAGAAGAGCGAGAAATTGTGGACCTGACTTCTTGAGGAACAGGCAATGATCATGAGAGGATTGGACAAAGCCATAAGCAAGAAGTTTATCCGATAATTCAATATTCCACTGTCTCGAGGCTTGTTTAAGCCCATAGAGACTCTTTTTCAGTAAGCAAACCTCTCCTTTCTTGGCTTTATCATAACCCTTAGGTGGTAGCATGTATACCTCTTCATCCAAAAATCCATGGAGAAATGCATTGTTGATGTCTATATGGTGCAGCTCCCAATTGTGTTGTATGGCTAAGGCAATGATGAGCCTTACAGACACCAATTTGGCAACCGGGGAAAAACTGTCCATGAAATCTATCCCTTCTCTTTGTAAGTATCCCTTTGCTACCAACCTCGCTTTGAGTTTGTCAACACTTCCATCAGGGTTTCTTTTCACTTTGTAGACCCATTTGGAGCCAATAGCTCTCTTGCCAAGTGGCAGCTTTGTGAGTGACCAGGTTTCATTGGCCTCCAGTGCTTGTAACTCCTTGTGCATGGCTGCAACCCATCTTGTATCCTTAGCTGCCTGTTCATAGAACATAGGTTCTGAAATTCCCTTATCAATCTTTGTGAAGAACAGTGAAAGTTCCTCATGTTTCTGAACTTCTTCTGTCAAATGATTGACAACATAGTCTGCCATCCAACCTGGTGCTCTCCTTTCTCTGGTCCCTTTTCTTATATCCTCAACTACTTCAGGAAGTTGAACATGAGAGTTCTCTGTATGCTGAGCAATGGGATCAACATCACTGGAATCAACACTATCCTCTTCCTCAGATGATAAGTCTTCAGTCACAACTGGAAGTGGAATATTGTGTACAACATTTTCTGTTTTCTGAAATTCCTCTGAGAAAGGAAATTGATCCTCATAAAAAATGACATCTCTAGAGACAAAAACATGTCTTCCCTCAAGATCATAAACCCTGTATCCTTTGACTCCAGTAACAAATCCCAGAAACACACAAGCAACAGCTCTGGCATCAAATTTCTTTCTGTATGGAGTGTTTTTGTTGGCATAACACAAACAGCCAAATGTTCTGAATAAGTTGTAAGCGGGAGTTCGTCCATGAAGCAATTCGAAAGGACTCTTCCAACCGAGTTTTTCACTTGGAAAAGTGTTAATAATTTGGACTGCAGCAAGCAAAGAATAAGGCCAGAGATTTTCTTGTAATTTGGACTGAAAAACTAAGGACCTAGCCACCTCGAGGATTGATCTATGTTTTCTTTCAACTACCCCGTTCTGTTGGGGGGTGTACGGGCAGGTCCTCTGATGTAGTATCCCATTTTCCTTTAAAACATCATTCACTTCTTTATTCACAAACTCCCCACCATTGTCTGTTCTTATTTTCCTGACCTTTAAATCGAATTGAACCTCCACCATCTTCAAAAAATTCTTAATGTTATCACAGGTTTCTGTTTTAAATTTCATCAGGTAGATCCAAGTTGACCTTGTAAAATCATCAACCAAAGTCAACATGTAGGGTGTGTTGGTAAGAGATTCCCTGTGATGTGGCCCCCAAACATCAATATGAACCAATTCAAACTTGCCTTTGCTTTGTATATGACTGGGAGGAAATGAGAACCTACACTGTTTGGACTTGTGGCAGGTGTCACATACACCTAGTTCTTGCCTCAGGTACACATCCTTCAAGAAATTCAGGTGTTTTAAGCAGTTGAGTGAGCTGTGGCCTAGCCTCATGTGCCACAGCTGTAATTCCTTTCCCTCAAATTTCAGGTTTGTGCCAACTGCATTAGCACTGAAACTTTCCCTTCCTAACACATACAAACCTCCAATGGCCTTACATGTGGCCACCAATGTTTTCCTGTCAATGTCCATCAGTTTGCATCCTCCACAAGTAAAGACAAAACTTAGTTTATTGTCTTCCACTAACTGGCCCACTGATAATAGATTATACTTGAATTCTGGAATCAACAAAACTCCCTTAAGGTAAATTTGATCATTTAATCGAACATCACCAATTTGTGTCACTTTAACATATGAACCATCAGGCAGATTAACTACAATGGGGCTTGTAACCTCTGAAATTTTGCATGCCATGCTTGTGTCATAGCAAATGTGCTTGCTAGCTCCTGTATCAATAATCCAGCTCCCCCTTCTAAGTTTATTGTTTAGAGAAAAGGCATAATCTTCTTTATCATCTGTGTATTCAACAAAGTGAGAAAAACTGTGGGTGTCTGCATCTTGTTGCCCACTAAGATATTTAGCTACTTCTTTCTGGATAAGTATACTTATGTCAGGTAAAGAGTCACTGTGCTGTGATCTTACCTCAGATTCTCCCCTAGAAGATCCTTCATTCTCAGCCATGTTCACACTTTGATTTTGCCTTTGTTCTCTCAATTCTTTGTACCAGTCCGGATAGCCATTCAATTTAAAACAGCCACCAATTTCATGTCCATTAAAACCACAATGAGTACAGACCAATTTAGCTCTTTCTTCTTTAGTAAGTCTTTGACCACCTCTCCCCCTTCCTGTATTATTCCCTCTGCCTCCATTATTATAATTTGGCCCTGAAAAATTCCTTCCCCCATTACCACGGCCAAAAACTTGACCTCTCCCATTTCCTCTCCCATAACTTCCTTTTGTCATCATAGCCGAGGTTTCAAATTGATTGTACATTCCAGTACCAATGGCCTTTTGCTTTTCAACCTTCAATATCATGGAGTATGCTTTGTTTATGGTGGGTAAAGGTTCCAACAACAGGATTTGATTCTTCACAGGTTCAAATACTTCATTCAACCCCATTAAAAACTGCATGAGTTTAACCTCCATTTCATTTTCAGAAATAGCTTTTCCTGATCCACACACACATTCAGGCAGAGAAACAAGGCAAGAGTATTCATCCCATAAACATTTCAACTTAGTGTAATATGAGGTAACCGTAAGTGAGCCCTGAGTAAAATTAGCAATCTCCTTCTGTAATTGATATTTGAGAGGCCCGTTGCTTTCCCCATACCTTTCAGCTAGCTCATCCCACAATTGTTTAGCAGTTTTCACATATAAAAAGGCTTCAACAATATCCTTCGAAATCGAATTAAGAAGCCAAGAGATAACCATAAATTCTACCTTCTGGTATTGTTTAAACTCTTCTGAATTCATTTCTGGTATATCCACTGTGCCATTGATGAACCCTAGTTTTGATTTTGCGCCCAATGCGAGCTTCGTCGCTCGACTCCAGTGAGAGTAGTTTGCTCCGGTGAGTTGGTTTGTAACCAGCACCATGCCAGGGTGATCCGATCCGTGTAAAGAAAGCGGATCTGTATCTCTTGAGTAGCTTCGAACAATCTCTTTTCCATGTTCATCGGTGTGTCGATCCATTTTTCTTTAGTAACCCGCTCTCGATACCATGTAACTGTATATATGTAAGGATATATTTTTTCTTTTAGGTATTGTAACTGTATATATGTAAGGATATATTTTTGCTGAGGTTAAGAGAGATGACTATCATCGATGGGTTTCTAACGGAGGAACATACGAAGATACTGATGATACGTTCTGAGGTTTCGCACTTTGGAAAGTAAATCAAAATTAATAAGAGTAATTACTTATACTGCTATTTAATACTTATTGTTGAGGGTATTATTTGTTCTTTGTTGGTGACACAATTTTTCTTTCTTTTTTTTTTTTTGGACGGGGCATTGTAATTCATGTGTGAAGCAACAACAATGGGACACCTTTATTTCTTTGTTTCCCTGAACAGCTGCCATGTGTGGCAACGGTGACATCCTCTATGGATCACGTGGTGCTGGTAGCCGAAACTCGCGTGACGTCATTTGAGTTTTTATGTAACGTCTGTTTTCCCTATTTTGATGATGAAGCTTTAATTCTTTTTTTTTTTTTTTTTATCTGTGTACAACCCTATCAAGCCCCAATTGTTCACGAGTTGCTGTCGTTGTGCCTAGGTATGACGAGCGATGAAACAATAGCCATATCAACACACGTGTCGCCGGGACCATGTGAGTCGTAAAAAGAATCAGATTAGACTGGGCTGCAGTGGTTCTGACCTTGGATTTTCGGTTTTTATATCTTGAAAGCACTGCCCATGCAAATAAGCAATCATCGGTGTATCTACGTACAAATTTTAAATTTTACCGGGTTGCTTGCAGAGATTATGTGGCTCCAGAATATGCACTGAGAGCACAAGTGACACGTCGAATATTTACAACTATGGCATCCTTCTTCTTGAAATTGTCAGCGGTAGGCACAACACTAACATGCACTCGCCGCCCAGCGAGCAATCCATTCTTCAACTGGTATGCACGGCGCGACTGGTCCTGAGAAAACACGGTTTCGTTTTAACATCCTCGAATCTTTTGCAAAAGACTTTTTGAATATGTGTTCTTATTCTTATTATCATCATTGCACACAGGGAACCTTTACGAAAAAACCGATTTACAATCAATGGTAGACCAACCGCTGAATGGGGATTTCGACCTAGAACACGCTTGTGCATTCCTGAAAATCGGCTTCCTTTGCACTCAGGACACCGTCAAGCTCCGACCACCCATGTCGGCCGTTGTACAAAATTCTACAGCAAGAATTGGTGACTAAATATTTGTTGATTACATATGTAAAGCTTGGAGGAGTACGACACTATTGGTTCATGTGGTTAAAGAGTGATCTACTAATCTGATTTAAACAAAGCCCTTTTTTCTTTAGTATTTCTTAAGTTTAAAATTGTTTAATATTTAGTATAAACTGGAAAAAGAAAGGGAAAAAAAAGATTTTCTTGTGCGTTTTGAGTTTCCAGCCACCATGTATTAGCTTATTTTTATTTTTTCTGTGTTTGGAAAATGACAGATGTAAAACCCTGAGCTCGACTTATAAACTTTATGGCGTACCAATTGTAGAGCTTACTTTTGTTACCAAGGGCATTGCTAATGTAGATACCCTTCCTTTTGAAGGGCAACATCTTAAAGTCCCTTCTGCTATTGCTGGATTTGCTCAACTGGTAAGTTACATGAGTTGTTTAAGTTTTGACTCTGTGGAGTTTTTTTATTCTTCAACATTTTCCTGTTAGTTTTTCTTGTTAGCTTTAGCCACTTTAAAGACTCATTATCTACAACTATGTCCTGTCTCATATGTTTTGGGTTTTGGCTTCTTAATTTGTTCTTGGATTTACAACATGTTTATTACATATTGTCATAAAATTCTTAAACAAGCTGAGTATTTACGCGAACATGTGGTTAGTTTCTTGATGGATTGTGCTAGGGAATAATCATGTTTTTGCTTCATCTTCAACGCTATCTTCCTATATTTGTAATGTAGAATTGCAGATGGAACTAAATCAAATGTAATTCAATTTAGTTCTCTGGTGCTGAATTTGTCCATGTTTTTTTCTTGTCAGTGCTATTTTGGAGGAAATAAATTGCACAGACAGAATTTCTGCAATGCAACTCCCACTTTAGAAATTTGTAGCACATAACGAAACCAGATCATTGCTGTGGCATCACCCAGACGAGTAGCACTTGTTGTAAGCCAGTTGATCTGTTTGAAACCAACTAAGTTTGATTCTGTCTTAAATATAAGGAACAACTGTAATGTATATAAACACATAAAAGGAGTTTAATTTCAATGTTTATCATCAGGCTAAGACCCACTTGTTCGTTTGTGGTTTAGATTCCTTTCTTCATCATTCTTGTAAATGTATTATTATTACTATTATCATTATTATTATTATTATTATTATTATTATTATTATTATTATTATTATTATTATTATTATTATTATTATTATTATTATTATTATTATTATTATTATTATTTTTGTTTATTTAATCCCTTTAGTGTATTTGAGCCCTTTATTGTTGATTTTGTTTGATTCACGGTGTGCTGGGGAGAACAACAATGAGCAAGACCCGAAAGGTGAAAGGAGTTGGGTGGGATGTCGCGGCCATAGAAAACGGTAAGCAAAGATATTTCTAACATGTATGTTTTCAGATTTTTCTTTTTTTAAGTTTGGTTAAATCAAACACATTTTTCTGGAGCTAACCTCTCATATATGCTGTGGTATATTAAAAAAAAAAAAAAAAAAAACCTCTTATATATGATGTTCTTTATATGCCACAGCAGCAGCATTACATATTAATTATTGGTTTCTAGATGATAATATATATCAACATTTTTGCAGAACAGCTCTGTACCTTATTTTTGTTTTTTTTTTAAGTTTGGATATGAACATTGACCAATCAATATTATTCTTATTCCTACGACTGTGTTGTACAATGCCACTGTTAATATGAGTCAATAGTAGAATAGGAAGCCAAATTGTGTTATAGGTTACCACACTAATTACTTTGTTCCCATGCAAATTTTTTTTAGGACTTAATTGTGTAACGTGTGAGTAACTTGTTCTGTTACAC